GGGGCACTGAGCCGAGGAGGGGCTGTGGGAGAGCCACGGAGCTGCCTGAGAAAGGCGCCTGGATGGATGTGCCGCGCGCGCGCGGCCTCCACACACCCTCCCGGGAACAGTGAGCCCCAACAAAGGGTTCTCGGCCCTCTCCACGCGGTGAGCCTGCCCTCCTCACTGCTCACTCGGGAAAGTGAGGCAGGAAGAGGGAGGCCCACGCCCAGTGCGCAGGGGCCGAGTGCCCTGGCCCTAGCCTGCACCGGCCGCCCCCAGACTGTTCCCTCCGTACCCCTCTTTGGCACACCCTGTCTTGGCCTGGAGGCGGCTTCTCAGTTTCTGTTCCTTGGGGAAGGGGAAGGCGCCGGGCATCCTGTCTCCAGGGAAAACCACATCAGGCCCCTGACCCTAGTTCACTGGACCCAGACACCCCCCAATCAAGCCTGGGAACTGCCCAGGCTGAAAGCCTGGAATCACCTCCAGGACAATCCTCCCCTCCCCCCCCCAGCCCCCAAGACGGACGCTTGCATAGGTGAACAGTGTCTGCTGAGCCCCAAGTGTGAACAGCCCGGTGGGTGCTGAAGCCTCAGAGGCAGGTGTAAGACCCAGCCCCTGCCCCCCCGGAAGCTTGTCATCCAGCCGCAGAGCAGGCCCCCCCCTGCAGGCAGGGCAGGATGTGACTAAGTGTAAAGAGTGGTGACAGTGAAGGGATTCAGAGAAGTACCAGCTCAAGACTCGCTACAGCTGACACTGGAGGGCTTGACTGTTGAGAACATAACTCGGGAAGCTCTTAGAACGAACTGCTCAGGAGCAAAGAGCAAAAGGTGCGTGAAGAGTGGGCTTCCGGCTCTTCCACGGGACTGTTCCGTCCCAAGTCATAGCTTACAGGGTTTTTTTTTTCTTCCGTTCACCAATGTCTTAGTTATATTTAAACTAGAGGCCCGGTGCACGAATTCGTGCACAGGTGGGGGGGGCGTCCCTTGGCCTGACCTGTGATTGGGGCCCATTTTGGCCGGGCTGGTGGAGAGAGGGGGGATGGGTTATGGAAGATTGGCCAGCCGACTGGCTCCCCGATCGGGCAGATCCAATTGCGGGGGCTGGCCGGCTGCGGGGAGGGAACGTGGGAGGTTGGCCACCAGCCCCCCCTCATCTGGGCCAATTGGGGCTGGCTGGCCACGGGGAGGGACGGGGGGGGGGGGGGTTGGCCAGTCCCGGGAGGTTGGCTGTGGGAGCCAACTGATCACCAGGGGGCAGCTCCTGTGTTGAGTGTCTGCCCCCTGGTGGTCAGTGTGTGTCATAGCGACCGGTCATTCCGGTTGTTCGGTCGTAACAGTCGCTTAAACTTTTATATATATAGATGGTGCCTATGGCTGTTCCGTCCCAAGTCATAGGTTACATGGTGTGTTTTGTTTTTTTTTTTCATTTCACCATGTCTTCATTATGTTTGAATGGTGCCTTTGGCATTGTCAGTCAAGCATTCGTTCAACAAACATTTATTGCCTGTCAGCTCTAGGGGGCCTGGCACTAAGCAAAGTAGAAGGAACACAGTGGTGAAAGCCCTTGCCCTTGGCAGGTCCAGAGGAAGAGGAAGGTCCTCCCTGCTTCACAGGTGGGAAAACTGGCCCGAGCTGAACGGAAGGGATGGCCCCGCTTCTCGAGGCTGCCAACGCGGGGATGGACTAGATCTGAACAGTTTGCCGTTCTTGCCATGAACCACACAGGCGGCCAGGAAGTAGGACTGAAGGGCCAACTTTCGCTCCTGGAGACCTGACGCACAACTCTGCCTCTGTCACGAAATGGCTTTAGTTTTACTGGAGGAAACCAAGGGAAAGAACTGCTATTCGCAGGGATACTGTGGGTATTAAATTAGGCAATGGATATCAATTTGCCAGGAAAGTATAATGCGTTACAGAAGTGGGAGCTGTTGTTACGAAGGTGGGCCCCTCCCCTAACCAATGAGCTGTGTTTAGGTCTCTCCCTGCCCTCCACCCCTTCCCCCCCCACACACACAGAGGTTATCCAAGCCTGGTTAGTGGGTGCCCAGAAGCTAACTGTAATGCCGACTCCTCCCCTTAGCCACAATGTGCTTACTCATGATCTTCCCCTCCAGTTTCTTCATGGCACAGCCAGACACTGAGCGAGCTGCCTAGAATCCGTATCATCTGCGGTGCAGGAGGCAGGAATTCTGGTGCTGCTCCATCGCAGGCACCGGGTTCTGGAGCCCCACCCAGCCCCGTTGCATCCCTGTGGCCCGTTTGCACGACACCGTCAGCGCCTCAGCAAGAAGCACTGTGATGGGCCAGCCGGGCTTTGGCTCCTGGGGGCTGTTGCTCTCCGTGCCAGCTGTGCCAGGGCTGGGTCAAGACAACCTGAGCAGCAGCTGCCATGGTCCTCCATGAGCCACGCTGCCTCCATTGCCATTTCCTCTGCCCCTGTTTACCTCCCAGTCTGTCTCTGCTGTGGAGGAAGTGGCGGACACCTCCCTGCTGGGGTGGGAGCAGAGGAGGAGACAAAGTTGCAAGGTGCATGGGGAGGGCAGGTGCCTCTAGCGCCAGGAAGCCCTGGCCCTGCCCGGGGCAGGCAGTGGGTTTGGGTAGGAGGCCTGGAGCCATTTGACAAGGGTGCCTGGCAGGCTTTTGGCTCCCGTCCCTCACATGTGCCACGTTAGCATCCTGCCCACCAGCAGGAGGGAACGGCAAGATGCTGTTTGAGGAAGAAATAAACCCAATCCAGCATCTCAGACGCTTTTAAAAATAGCAACTCCGGGATGGTATTTCAGCTCCTATTTTTATCAGATTTGTATGGCCGGACCGTGGAGCCGCGCGGTTCCCAGGGTTCTCAATGGCAGGGACATCGCTGTTGTCGTCTTAGAAACCTGCCCGCTGGCCGGGGCCACAATGCATTCCAGGAAGCTTTAGGCTGGGAGCGATCCCAGAAGTCACGGCACCCAGCCCGCGTCTCTGTTCAGGGCCGCGATCCATTCAACACAGCGAGTTAGTTCGTGGCTTGCTTTTCGCCTTAACGTCTCTTGGTTGCCATGACTCCACAGCATAATCTAGGATTACACGGCCTTCTAGCCAGGAAGTGCTTTTTAATATCTAGCCCAGATATCGATGGTGACAGCCCTTCTGGCCTTTTTTCACGGCAGGAAAACAGCAACCAACATCTACCGTGCGATGACTATGTCCACAAAGTCCTCACATCTAAACCCCACAAAGCCTTGGGGATCAGCACGGCCACCACTCCTGGTTAGGAGCCCTTACGTAACTCGTCCAAGTTCATACTTGGGTGCGGTGCAGATCCTACGCCGGGACCATCAGCCCACATTGGCTCTCAAGCAGAGCGGGAAGGGGATGTTAAGGAATTGGTTAGTGAAGGGGACCGAGAAAGTTTTGCCTTTTGGGATATTGACTTTAAGCTGGTAATTAAGGAACAAAAGGCTCAGGAAGAACCTCTTTGATCCTCCCCGCTTTCCTGCCCAAGAGATGCAGATCAGAAAATCCTGCAGTCGGGAAGGAAGTCTTAGGATGTTCCTCTGAGCCTCATTTGATGTAAGTGTGATAAATGGGAAGGCTTGTGGGGGGCGGGGGGCGGCTGTGTCCCATTGTTTCTGACTTGCTAGGAGAGTTTGCCGGCCCAGTGCCTTTGTGCCTGCGCGCGTTCAGCTCTTCCTCAACAACCTGTCAACCTGTCAATCACCCATTCTCACTTCTGAAACCTAAGACCTCAAAAGGGGGCTTTTCTCCTTTGTCCAAAGTAGTCATAACCCAATGACGCCTCACTATCTTTGGAATTTTCATGCTTACATGAGTTCCCCAGGTGCATGTATTGAAATGTGATTTTCTCCTGTTAATCTGTCTAATTTGATTATTCGCCCAGCTAGAAGAATTTAGCAGGTGGGAAGGAAAGTACATATATACCCCATTAGCCTTCATGCTTACGTGAGTTCCCCAGGTGCATGTATTGAAATGTGATTTTCTCCTGTTAATCTGTCTAATTTGATTATTCGCCCAGCTAGAAGAATTTAGCAGGTGGGAAGGAAAGTACATATATACCCCATTAGCCTTGACTTTCATTTTTTCATCGTGATCTGGAAGGAAAAACTGGCCAGTGTTTTAACTGTCCTTGTGTGCCACACGCTAGAGGCTAGAGGCTAAATTCTGGTCCCAGCCATGCTGAGCCCAAGGCCCCTACCTGCTGGGCCTTTGCTGTGCTGGCCATTTGGCTGTCAAGTTTCTGCCTAGATGTTCAGGTTCTCTCAGAAGCTCCCAGAGCCCCCTCTGCTTTCTTCAAGGCACCCACCACTCTTGTAATTACTTTGTAATGAATGTCTCACTAAACTGTAAGGTCCATGTGAGTTCTATCTCCAGATTCTTGGTTGAAAAAAAAATGGGTGGGTGTTCAAACCTATTTATTGAATTAAAACACTTTAAACAGATTCAGCCCGTGCATAGCTTTTTTGTTTTGTGTGTTTTTTAAAATATATTTTTATTGATTTCAGAGAGGAAGGGAGAGGGAGAGATAGAAACATCAATGATGAAAGAGAATCACTGATTGGCTGCCTCCTACACACCCCACACTGGGGATTGAGCCCGCAACTGGGGCATGTACCCTGACCAGGAACCGAACCATGACCTCTAGGTTCATAGGTCAACGCTCAACCACTGAGCCATGCCAGCTGGGCCATGTTTAGTTTTGAACAGTGGTTAAAAGTCAATAGCTTTAGCCCTGGCCTGGTAGTTCAATTGGTTAGAGCATCGTCCTGATACACCAAGGTTGTAGGCACAATCACCAGTCAGGGCACATACAAGAATCAACCAATGAATGCATAAATAAGTGGAACAACAAATTACACTTCCTTCCCCCCTGCCCCCTAGAATCAATCAATAAAAATTTAAAAAACTAAACTTGGTAGCTTCAAGTTTAAATAGATTTCAAAATCTAGGGAGTGGGCCGGACTGGGGTGAAGGGGTCAGTGGGGGAAAATGGGAAACATCTGTAATACTTTCAACAATAAAGATTTTTTTTAAAAAAAGTAAAAAAGATACTACCAAGATTTTATGCCAATAAATTTGAAAATTTAAGTTAAAAAATAATAGAACAAATGTAGGTTTGGGTGAGGATATTTAAAACACAACAGCCCTTAATTATCACCATGTTCTTATTTTAAAAAGGACATTTTAACCTTATATATACATGTGTGGCTCAGTTGGTTGACACATTATCCCATATACCAGAAGGTGCTGGTTCGATTCAATACCCAGGTTGCGGGTTTGAACCCTAGTGGGGGCACATGTGGGAGGCAACTGGCTGATGTTTCTCTCCCGTTCTCTCCCTCTCCCAGTTATGAAGTAGCAACGAAAATAATTTTATGGTTGGGTCACAACATGAGGAACTGTATTTAAAGGGCCAGAAGGTTGAGAACCACTGATTTAGTCCTTCCTGCCTTGGCAGGTGTGGCTCAGTTGGTTGACACATTATCCCATATACCAGAAGGTGCTGGTTCGATTCAATACCCAGGTTGCGGGTTTGAACCCTAGTGGGGGCACATGTGGGAGGCAACTGGCTGATGTTTCTCTCCCGTTCTCTCCCTCTCCCTTCCTCTCTCTGAAATCAACAATAATTGTTTAAAAGTACACTTGAAGAAAAGACTTAGTCCTTCCTGAGAAGGAAGGGTTAGCAGACCTACATCAACCTATTCAGACACAAAACAGATTTATTACAATGTTTGGACATGGAAGTATTACAAGAGCAACATTTTCAAGCATTTTTCTGTGTGTCATTGTTTCTTGATTTCTCCGCGTGGGGATCTGTATTCCACAGAGACAGGCAGTGTGGAGCTGAAGTGCCCAACTCATTTCAAAATGTTATTTTCCTGTTCCATGAAGGAATGCTGACGAATACAGAACACTCAGCAATTTTTCTCAGTGAGGAAACTTTTGGGCAAACTGAGAGGAGCCAAGGGACAATAGCAATGGCTCCCTTCCTTCTCCAACCAAGCCAGGGGCAAATGCGCCCAGCACCGGGGGCTGACAGCCAGCGTGGAGGCCTCGGGCCTCATCTGGGGAGTGTGGCATCTGCCATTGCTCCAGCAGGGCAGGGACGCAGGGACGCAGGGACGCAGGCACGCACGTCGGAATCACGCAATCCAACACGCAGGGCCCTCTTTCCAGCACGGAGGACAGACACAGCACGCTGCCGGAGGGGCTGGTGGGCTGGTGAGCCGGGTGGGGCTCAGGAATCCGGGGTCCTGCTCAGGAAGCTCTCAGCGGGGGCAGGATGTTGGGTTTTGCTGAGTGGCATTGCAGCAAAGGAACGGTTTCGGGTGGTGACCTGGGCAAGCAGCTGTAATCTCAGACAGAGAGTCCGCAGGATCCATTTCACGGCCCGCCACACACCTGAGCCGCTGTTCATTGGAGTAAAAGCGAGTCTTCTTGTGGGCAGTGGCCCTGGCCACAGTGGGGTCCTGAGGCAGGAGGCTGGACTCCTGTCTTGTCCGGTGCAGTGTTCAGCCTGCAGGCTGCTCTGCCCTTGGCTCCAGGTTACTCCCATTGCGGGAGCTGGGGGTGGGGGTTGGGGGGAGTGGGGGGTGAGCCTGGCCCTCGGTGACAGCAGGCATAGTCCTGACACGTAAGACAAGCCCTGTCTCCCAGCACGATGGGGGCGGAGCCAGGCCTCCCGCTGGAACAGCCCTTACCCAGTCTTGTTCTGGGCTGTCCCACCTCCTGAGCCATGCTTCTGGGGGGGTCTCCCTGTTCCCATTGTCGCCCTGAGATTTAACGTGAATACATTTGAAGCTTCAGCCCAGGTAAGACTTGGTGCAGGTGTGATGGGTGGCGGAGTAAACCTGTGAAGGAGAGACGGACAGATCGGGCGGAGAGTCGAGCCTGGAGAGGCGGGATGCCTTCGCAGGGCGCCCATCCAGGGAGAGGAAGGCCCGGCCCCGGGGAGGCCCTGGCTGTCTTCCTCCGATTCAGGATGAGTTGCCCGGCAGGCTTTTCCAAGCAGACAACCTCTGTGTGAAGCCAGATGAGACCCTCCCTGAGAGGACTTGTTCTTTTAAGAAAACACTGCAAGGAGGGGCCTCAGGGCTGGCGTCCCCTCCACTCCTCCTCTCCAGACCGCCCCACGTGTCTTTTTCTTACACGTGAGAAAAGACAAGCCAGGTTCCCTTCCAAGCCGGCTGGTCCCACTGCTGTCATCTCCACCTGGTGGGGAACGCAGGTGCCCACCCCATCACACCTCCCCTCTAACGCAGCCCCCACGGCCTCCCCACCCTCAATGCCTTATTCCATTGACTGACCTGCTGGAGGTGCCCGGGGTACTGTCAGGATCCACACCTGACTCGCCCACATACCTGCTTTCAGTTTCCATGAGTTGTCTGTGTTTACCCTTGTGTTCACCTGTCTGCCCCACTAGCCAGAGGGCAGGAGCTGTGCCTTAGTCACCTTTGTGTTCCCAACCCTAGGACACTGTCTGGCTGAAGAGCCAATCAGCAAGTTTCGGTTTATGATAAAGCTTCATTATCACACCTGACGTAGCTGATTACATCGTGGATCCTCCTCCCCCCTCCCCTTCACACAATGCAGGCTCAGAACGCCGTGGGTCTTGCCCCATGTCAGGGGTCCATGTCGGCTCCAGAGAGACTTCTGACCATTTGCTCACCATCGCCAGCATCTAGGCCAGTGATGGCGAACCTATGACACGCGTGTCAGAGGTGACACGCGAACTCATTTTTTTTTGGTTGATTTTTCTTTGTTAAATGGCATTTAAATATATAAAATAAATATCAAAAATATAAATCTTTTTTATACTATGGTTGCAAATATAAAAAAATGTCTATGTGACACGGCACCAGAGTTAAGTTAGGGGTTTTCAGAATGCTGACACGCCGAGCTCAAAAGATTCGCCATCACTGATCTAGGCAGTGCCTCGATCATAGCACGTGCTCAATAAGCCTCAGATGAATGAATGAATGATGAATGAATGAATGAATGAATGGAGCTCGGCTCTGCATCCAGGTCTCCTGGTTCTCAGTCCAGGGGATGCAGAGTAAGAGCCACCCACTCCTCTGCCTTATGCTTCCCTCTTATCACTCAGCAAAGCCCAGCATCCCGTCTCCCAAGTGCTTCCCGAGCAAGACCCAGGATCTGTCAGCCACACCTCGAAACTAACACGTAGAGTGCAGAGTGCCGCGTGCGTTTAATTGTGCGCCTCCGTCGTGCATGCCGGTCCCTGCTCGCCTGGGGCAGTGGCAGGGGCCACCCTGCACGGCGAAGTCTCTGCTGGCTCCTTACAGGCCATCGGCCTGGAGTCCCTTCTGAAGTCCCTTCCTGGCCTCAAGATTCCACGACCAGGTCTCTGGTGCTGGCCACTCCTTGGACCCGAGCCCACGGGGGCCTTTGGGGCCACTGCACCCCTATCGCTTTGCCCTGCTGTACTGTTTCGTACTTGATCTTCTGGCTGCTTCTGCGAGTTTGTTTTGTCTTCCTGCCTAGATAATAAACTCAAGGCCAGGGACTCGCTGACCAAATAACAGAGACAAAGGCAGGCGTTCTGGGCTTGCATCACCCGATTCTTTTTGAAACCCTCCCACTTCCAGGCCGAGATCCTTCATCCTTGTCAACAAGCTTATCAGCAGGCGTGACTCACCCCTAGAGGGTGACCTCAATGCTGGGAATGAACAGAGGAAGCGCCATCAAAAATTGCTATAGATTATTTCCAGAAAGTTTGCATATTTGCCTCTTTGGGGGCACTCCCAGACATGTGGACCTGGAACACCATCAGGCAGGAAGGAGAGGACGTGGCAGCAGAATGGGGAGTGAGGACAGGGAGAGGCAGGCAGATTCAGGACTTGGAAACCGGCAAGGAGGGGTGTGCAGGATTTGGAGACGGGCGAGGGGGGTGTGCAGGATTTGGAGACAGGCCTGGCAGCCATCCAGGTCAGCTGAAGCCACCCCCCACCCAGTCCCCCCTCTTCATGGCCTCTCGTCTTAAGACCTCCTTCTGGGGTTCTGCCCACCCCACCTTCCTGCACTCCTGCCTCCTGGGCGGCACCACCAGTCCACACCAAATGCAACCAATACTTTATTCGTACGCTAGAAATAAGCCAGTACAAACCACAGTTAAAAAAATTAATTTGGTGCTAAAAAACCCCACCCCAGTCCCACATAACCGTTCTCTGGACCGTCCAGGAGCCTCAGCTTTTCTGGGCCTCCTGCAGGAGCCTGAGCAGGGGGTCATCCGCCCTGAGGGCAAAGGTGAGGGTGCGCCGCTGGTAGTGCTCCGGGTCTCGCTCCAGGTTCTCGATCACCTCTGCCAGCAGGTGGGCCCGCTCCACCCCCGAGCCGGGGGCCTCGAAGCCCAGGGCGGTGAAGTGCACGTGCAGGTGGTAGTAGGAGGGCAGGTAGTGCAGGTACACGCGGAGGCGGTCCCCCTTCACCTGGTACCGCTGTAGGATGGCTTCCTGGGGAGAAGGGAGTGGCGGGAAAGGGGTCACTGTGCTGCCCACGAAGCAGCACCAGCCCCTCCTCCTGCCCTAACCCCAGACTAGCCTCCGGACATCTAATAAACCCACACACAGCCCTCTGCCCACTGCGCACTGCAGGTCCCTGCCTTCCCTCTGTGGATTCAGAGCAGGCAGGTGACAGCCAAGCTGAGGCTCTTTCTTTAAAAAAAAAAAGAAAAAAAGATATTTTTATTGATTTCAGAGAGGAAGGGAGAAGGAGAGAGATATAGAAACATCAATGATGAGAGAGAATCATTGATTGGCTGCCTCCTGCACACCCCCTACTGGGGATGGAGCCCACAACCTGGGCAGTGCCCTTGACCGGAATCGAACCAGGGACCCTTCAGTCCGCAGGCCGACGCTCTATCCACTGAGCCAACCAGCAAGGGCCCCCACATGAAGGGACAGTGGCAGGATCAGGGCTCCCCACCCCACTTGGATAAACATTTGTTTCCTCACACGGCTCCTGTTGGAAATCTAGACAGTCCAGAGCCTAAGAACGGCCCCACAGACCCAGGCTGGGACGGTCTGTAAACACGAAAAGCACCAGGTGGGTGGGGGAAGCCTTGCCCCCTCAGCCTGCAGCAGAGTGGGGCTCGGCAATGGGCACAGCTGAGCGAGGGCCTTAGTGAGAGAACAAGGATGGGCCGGACGCGAACCTGACTTTGGCCCCTGCTCCCTCGGCCCCCACCTTGTGCATAGGTAGGGCTTCTTTCCTTTTTTAAAAAATTATTTTAGCCGAAACCGGTTTGGCTCAGTGGATAGAGTGTCGGCCTGTGGACTGAAAGGTCCCAGGTTCGATTCGGGTCAAGGGCATGTACCTGGGTTGCGGGCACATCCCCAGTGGGAGGTGTGCAGGAGGCAGACCAGTGGGAGGTGTGCAGGAGGCAGCTGATTGATGTTTCTCTCTCATCAATGTTTCTAACTCTCTATCTCTCTCCCTTCCTCTCTGTAAAAAATCAATAAAATATATATATTTTTTAAAAAATTATTTTATTTTCATAATAGGTCTTTAAAAAAAAATTGTTACCTGAGGACATGTTTATTGATTTTCAGTGGGAGGGGAAGGAGGAGGGAGGGAAGGAGGGAGAGGGGGCAGGGAGAGAGAGAAACATTGACGTGAGAAACATCTATAGGTTGCCTCCCATGTGCATCCCAACTCCGGCTGGGGATCAAACCTGCAACCTAGGTATGTGCCCTGACCAGGAATTGAACCCACAACCTTTCAGTGTAAGGGACAATGCTCCAACCAACTGAGCCACACTGGCCAGGGCAGAGGTAGGGCCTTTTGTATCAAACCCCTTTCCCGGAGTCTCCAAGGCTTAGAGTTAAGAGGAGATTCTGGTTTCCATTGTGGGCAAATCCCTAAGGAGGTCAGAGGTGAAGAGGAAAAAACTAGGGCCTCCGTGGGCTCGGGATGCACCCCAGAACGGCGTTCTGTATATGGCGCTCGGGCCAGGGATTGTGCAGCAAGTGAGGCCAGGCCAACCCCCAAAGGCTTCGTGGGATAAGCGGGGCAAGGCTGCAGAGCGCCAGCGCAGCTGAAGTGCTGGCCTAGCAGCTCCCCAGAAGGAAGACGCACTCTCTGCCACCCAGAGGCTGTTACAGGAGAAACGAGCCACTCCAACCAGACAGGCAGCCAGAGAGGTGTGACAGGGAGCTGGGGTCAGAGGTCAACAGAGAGAGGACCCAGCAGAGCCCTTCCTCCAAGTGATCCAAGCCTGGGAGCAACGCTGTGGAAGGAGCACCAGGACTGCAGGCCTGGGCACTGGTGTGTGTGTGTGTGTGTGTGTGTGTGTGTGTGTGTGAGAGAGTGTGTGTGAATGTGTGTGTGTGTGTGTTTGTGAATGTGTGTGTGTGTGGGAATGTGTGTGTGTGAATGTGAGTGTGTGTGTGAGAGAGTGTGTGTGTGTGTAGGGGACCTTCAAATGTTCCAAGTGGAAAAAAGGCCAAGAACAACCCCCCAGAATGGAGGCTTCAGAAGGATCCTACCCAGATAGACCCAGGGAGGTGAGGCCCAAGGTCAGCCAGCTGGCTTGGGTCAAAATGTCAGAACCAGGGCCACATCCCTGGATTCTAGTCTCTCTTCCCCCATCTTCCCTCCCCTCGGGGCTCCTCTCAGCACCCCTTAATTTCATTCGACTCAATAGTCACCCCACATAGACGGTATCCCAAATCTCAGGAGTTAGAGAATACAGTCTCGGCCCACAGGCTAGAGTAGAGGCGCTTCCTGCATTCACACGCCAGAGCCATCGATCCAGCTACAAGAAACACGGCTGTATGGTGTGGCTGTCACAGCCAGACTGGCAATCCTGGGCGGGGCGGGTGCCCAGACGGGACCTGCTGGAGAAGGCAGGGCGCTGAAGTGTGAAGTTAAGAGGAGGAGGGTGGGGCAGGACAGGCGGCAGGGCCTGGAAAGAGCCTGTGCGTAGCCCACACTGACTCTGAGAAAGAAGCCCCCGTGGCAGACACCCTCCTGGGAAGGGCGAGGAAGTGTACAGGGAACACACTGAAAGCAGATGGTAATTCCTCTGGGCTTCGATGTGTTGCCAGGGCAACTCACCTGCCCCTCCCGGAGGATGTTCCTGAGCAGCGGCAGGTGCTCCGCGGTGAGGTCCCGAAGCGACCTGATGCCCCGGCGGTGGCAGATGGCGATCAGGTACAGGTCATCCAGCTGCAGAGAGCAGGAGTACAGCAGGCTCAGCGGGCGACAGAGCCGGGGAGGCGCCAATCCTGGAATTCCCCAGCGAAGCCAGCAGGCGCCCACCCCCAGGCCTGCAGTGCCAGCCACAGCCCGCCCCAGGGACCCCACAGCAGGACTGGGGAGCGATGTGGGAGTCCACGTGCCCAGGGAGTGGATGGTCTAAGGAACGGAACTTCTGCCCATTCCTCCTGCAAAGGAAGACCCTAAACTCAGAGCTGACGGGGCTCAAGTGCCAAGGACAACGCTTCCCTGCAGGAGTTCAGGGTCTAATCGCATGGACACAAGTAACTACTCAGACATGAGGTGAGAGAAGTACAGGAAGAAGGAAGACCGGCGAGGGCCATCTGGAGAGGCTTCCTGGAGGAGGCGGCGGGGATCTGGGTCTTGAAGAGGTAGGTTTACAGGAGGGGCACTCAGGGAGAGGGGACAGTGAGAGCAAAGGCTCGGAGGCAGGAGAGCACAGTGCTATGGGCAGAGTAAACAACCCAATCTGTCCGGACTCAAAGGGAGCCAGGACCAGCTCGGCAGGGGCACCACCAGAGCCGCACTAACCTTCTCCTCCCTTCCCCTACCTCCCGGCCCCGGCAGCCCTTCCCACTGTCCTTCCTGAAAACAGCACCTGGCCACAACCTGGAGGTCACAACACTGCAAAGAACCAAAGGAGGGAGTGGCGGGAAAGGGGTCACTGTGGGGGCTTAACTCTAAGAGTTAAGAGGAGATTCTGGTTTCCATTGTGGGCAAATCCCTAAGGAGGTCAGAGGTGAAGAGGAAAAAACTAGGGCCTCCGTGGGCTCGGGATGCACCCCAGAACGGCGTTCTGTATATGGCGCTCAGGGAGAGGGGACAGTGAGAGCAAAGGCTCGGAGGCAGGAGAGCACAGTGCTATGGGCAGAGTAAACAACCCAATCTGTCCGGACTCAAAGGGAGCCAGGACCAGCTCGGCAGGGGCCCAGTGAGTGGATGGTCTAAGGAACGGACAAGATGGTGCCCAGGACAGAAATGAACTCCTCTGGCCCAGAATCCGTCCCCACCACGCCCCGCTCGCCCAAACCCTGGCCTTGGCTGGCGATCGCGTCCCGTGCGTGCGTGTGAGGCAGGCCCAGACTCCAGGGCTCGGGGGGAGGCCTGGGGCAGCTCCAGCAGCACTCAGCCCTGCGTCTAAGATGCCAGATTCCTCAACGAGATGAGACAGTCTGGGGACCCGACCAAACCCCGCAGGGCCCCGAGTTAAAAAGTGAGAATGAGACTTTCCAGACGGCACCTGATGGCCAGCGGTGCCTCTTGCTGCCAGCAGTCCCTTCCTGCCCCAGACGCTCTCCTCTGCCAGGGCCCCCAGAGCTGGGCTCCCTGCCCCAGGCCTGCTACACACGGGCCCATGGGAGCCTCTGGCAGATGACAGAGCCGTGCCAACCAGCCTCCCTTGCCCACAAGTCCCTTCGGTGCTCCCCCTTTTCACGATATGCGTCCAGGACATTTACTCTCTCACGAGGTAGAGGCCCCAGGAGAAGCCAGGGGAAAAACTGCTTGAACTCGGGGCACGGGTGTGTGTCTGCGGGTGTCTTCAGTTGTTCCATGTGTCACTATCACAGGACTTCCAAATAGTAGTAGCCTTTGTTTTAGATGCCGTCTGCTGGCCGTCCAAACAGGACCTTCAGTCGCACCCACTGCTCCCTGACGGGGACTGAGGCATGCAGCCTGGTGCTGGGTGTCAGCTCACGGCTGGGTGTGGAAGGGAAAAAAGCCACTCTCTGATATCAGACATTACTTCAGATTTTCTGCAGCCAAAGGGCCTCTGGCTCAGAGAAATTCTCTGAAAAAGCTAGACAAGGGGCCGGCAAGGGTCTCAGATTGGCACCCCAGAAGGTGGCCCAGAAGTCAGTCTTCACACCATCAATCTCGTTTTATAAGGGAGGACAGTGGACTCGGAGTAGCAGCTTCCTGGCTCGGGCTGAGGGGTGAGAATGCGATTGGCTGGAGCTTCAGAGGGAGTCATCCCTCCACCCCTGGGTGACCCAGAAGGGCAGTGTCCTGTGCTGAGATCCTTAGACCAGAGAACCTAAGTCCCATGACCTGAAAGGGCATGTGTGTCTCCATAAACACACACACATGCTCATACATACAACAGGGAAAGGCTCTCTGGAAGGACAAAGAAATGATCTCTTCTGGGGAAGGGAAGTGGAGGCATGTGGGGTGACGACCTTACTCTCCCTGCACACCTTGGTATGTGCACCTTCACCCTGTGCATGTATGAACCAGACCTACAGAAAAAAAACAAATAAAATACGCAGGCGATCCCTTAGGACAGCGGTTCTCAACCTGTGGGTCGAAACCCCTTTGGCGGTCGAACGACCCTTTCACAGGGGTCGCCTAAGACCATCCTGCATATCAGATATTTACATTACGATTCATAACAGTAGCAACATTACTGTTATGACGTAGCAACGAAAATAATTTTATGGTGGGGTCACAACATGAGGAACTGTATTTAAAGGGCCAGAAGGTTGAGAACCACTGCCTTAAGAGAACTGAGGAAGGGATATGTAACCTCCAGAAAGGCAGAGGTCTGGCACACATTAGGGGCATGGCAGGTATTCGTGGCATGGATGGATGGATGGACAATGGACATATGGACGAAGAGTCTTGCTAATTAATCCCGAGTCATCAGCTGGGGGCTACATAAATACAGGGTATCCCCCCCAAAATGTACACACAGCTGAGCCCTATTACATTTTGAGAATGAAATGTATTTTAATACACTTAGTGTAATGTAATAAACACTGGCTTCATAATTATTTGAAGTGCGTACACATTTTTGGGGACACCCTGTATGTAAAGACATCCTCCTGGGAGAAAGAGCAGCAGGAGGTGCCAGGTGAGCAGAAAGCCTCCCCGAAGAAAACGCAGGTGCGCTGCTCTCCTCCACCCCTGCCTAGGGAGGAGGAGGTGACGTCCAGCCGCCGTCTCCCTGCTGGAGACACTGCCTAATTGTCAGGTTCTGTCGTCGGGCAAGGATCTGAGACAGTGACATATGGCATTACCAAGAGACCGTGCTAATTAAGCAAAGGTTAAGAACAATGGCACCTATATTACCATCAAGGAAAGTCTGACTTAAAAAAAAATTTAAAGAAAGGAAGGCAGGGGGAGGGAGGGGAAGAGGGAGGAAGGGAGAGAAAGAGAAAGAGAGAGAAAGCTCAGTTGCCTCCCACATGCACCCCAACCAGAGATCAAAATCTGGGTATTTGCCATGACCTTGAACCAGTGACCTTTTGGTGCACTGGATGACGCTCACCCAACTGAGCCCCATGGGCCAGGGCAAAAGCCTGACATTCAGCTTGCCCATTCTCGATCGCTGAGGACCAGTCCAGACCTGCGGCTGGATGCCAGTGCAGCTCCTGAAGCCTCTCTGTCTTAAAGGAACAGAGGCAGGACGCCTGCCGGCACCAGGTCAGAGGACCCTGATTTGCCTTCTCAGTGCCGTGGGCTTCTAGAATGGAGACGCACAAGTCGGTCTCCTGCTGTCCCTCAGGCTACCACCGCTGCAATCACAAGCTTGGATCTTGTGAGTCTGGAGTTCCTCCCACCCCACTCCCACCTCCCGTGACCAGGCTGCAATCCAGGACCTCCAGGCACAGGGCTGCTGGGGGCAGACAGGGTTTGCACAGGGCATCGCCCACAGCTGCCACCAGCATCCCCAGGGCCTGTCCCAGCTCCCCCAACATCTCCAGGGCCAGTCCTGGCTTCCTCTGTGGAGGCTTGAGGCGGGGCTCAGCTGCAGGGGAGGGGAGGTTGGGGGCCGCCTCTCTCACTACTGCACCCCACATCTTGCCTAGCTCTCCAACTCCTGGAAACTCCCTTCATTTCCTACCACCCCGAGCCACATTCAGGAAGCCCCACAGCGCTGGTAAGGCAGCTGGCGCTCACGAGCCTATGCGCCTGAGCCGAGAGGCTGGCCCGGTGCCCAGCCACGGGCTCCCAGCCCCCATATCTGGCATTGAAGGGGGCACGGCAGGTACGGAAATCACCTGATCAAAGCCAAGCAGACTGCCGGTGAGCCCAGTAAGGACCCAAAGGCCCCAAGAGCCGGCTGAGCAGGCCGGGGCTGAGAGAAGGGAGAGGCGTCCCGGGCGAGGCGGGCAGGGCCCACCCTCCCGGAGGATGCCTCTGCAGGTCCCATGACTGCCAGAGCAGCGCAGAAACCAGAAGGACCCACCCAAAAGCAGAACGGAAACCCAAGCTGGAATCTCAGAGTCCAGTTAGAGGAGGGGGGCATCTATCTACTCCCCACTTCCTACTCGGTGATTCCGCCTCTGGCCTCCATGGCCTTCTCCTGGCCCGACCTGCTGCAGGCTGCATCCGGCCCCATGCAGGCGGTGGCGGGAAGCGTACCCCCTGTAGGCCGCTGTCTGCTGTTCTTTAGCAGGGCATGTATGCCCACCCAGGGGGATGGTACACTGTGACTGCAGTGGGCAGGTACAGGGGAGTGAAGGTGGGAGGAGAGAAGGTAGAGAGACAGAGAGGCTACAGAGAACTGGGAGGGACAGAGAGAAGGTGGCTCCCCCGGAAGCCTGTTCCTTAGTGGGTGGAGCAGCAGCAGGCACATGGAGACCAGGGAGGAGGAGCTGCCGGGACCTCCTCGGTAACTAGGGAAGTGCAGGGGAAGCCACAGGTTGTTCGCCGTGACTGCTGCCTGTCACTAATTCAGACCATGGGCCGGCCTAGGTCTGCTGGTGTCTAGGGAGATGAAGGAAAGCAAACAGTCCAGCACAGGGCTCCAGAAAGTGAGAGTGGCCACCCAAGCCACTTGGCTGGTTAAGGAGCAGCCCGGGTGGTTATACAAACATCGCCTCATCCCCGCCTCCCCCTCCCCACCAACCACACACAGACCCAGTGGGGGTGGGGGCTGGAGGAGACAGAAAGGGCGTTAAAGTGCCCGCTGAAGCATAAACACTCTGTATGACAGGTATGCATTAGCGTGCAGAGCTCAGACCTCTCCGCTGGTTAAGGACAATCTGCTTAGAGAGTGCGAGACCAATGGGGGAAAGAAGTGGCTTAAGGTAGGATTACGGTGGGTCATTGACCCGACCCGGAGCAGGACACTGAGAGCAGAGAACCCAGCAGGAAATCTCTTACCTGCTGTTGGTTCCACTTGAGGTCGGGGATGAGGACAAAGCCGTCAGCGGGATCTGGGTTCTCAAAAACAATCCGGTCGGCTTCCGCCTTCTTGTCAAGAATGTTGTACACCCACTGGTGGCAGAGGGAGAGAGGGTGCCTATCCCGTCACCACCCCAGGCTGGGCTAGGAAGCTCTCTGGCCCCTCCCGGAAGGACAGCCACTGAGCTCAGGGCATCCACCTCAGGCTGCCCTGTCCCATTGCTGACACTCGGTCACCAGCCATCCCCACAAGGCCCCGGCCGTGCAGAGGGCGCTGGCTCTTTAGGCTCCTGCTGGTCAGCAGTGTGCATACACTCTGCTGTGGCCACACAGGCCCGGTCCTCATCCACCCTCCACTGCCCACAGAACCAGGGGAGATCGTCTCCACGGGCCCCTCCCACATTACTCAGGACACAGCAAATGATCAGGTTGGGGTTCCCTCTGCACAGGAAGCTGGCTCCATGCCAGGGCAGATTCTAGATAAAGTGTGGGATCCTCAGGGCGGCCGCCCCACTGGGATTCTCAGAGTAGCTGCCCACCTGGTGCCACAGCAGTCTCTGCTGACATGGCTCCTATGTAACAAAGCATTCCTGCCCCAGCCAGTGTGGCTCAGTGGTTGAGTATTGACCTATGAACTAGGAGGTCACGGTTCGATTCTCGGTGGGGGCACATGCCCGGGTTTTGAGCTCAATCCCCAGTGCGGGGCATGCAGGAGGCAGCTGATCAATGATTCTCTTGTCTACCCAGGGTTCTGGCCTCCCACACCTCTTAGATCTGCTGCTGCTGAGTCTTAGGGAGCCCTTCCTTGGGTAGTGTGGATCCCAAGGACATCAGTTTACAATCAAGGTCCTAATGGCCTCTCTGAAGAAGCCTCCTGCAAGCAGGTTAAGGTAAGGCCCCTGTTCTCCAGGGCTCAACCCCCAGACCACAGACCTCAGCGTTTCTCCACTTCCCCTAGCTCTGAGCACTCTTTACAAAAGAGACTTCCTCCTAGGACCATGAACTCCATGCCAGAAAGCCTAGAGAACCCTGCTGGAAAGCCAGACAGAGGCAGCGCTGGGCTCACAATGCTGCCCCTGCGCCTGTCACCACGGCCTCCATGCTCACGCAGGGGTGAAACGGGGGGCAAGGGCACTGATACCAACACCCGTGGAGGGCTCCTCTGCCCACTTCCAGAAGTGCGGACACAGCAGCTTAGGGTCTGCACACCTCATCCCAGGAGTCTGCATCCTTGGCTGTCAGCTCCTGGCCAGCACAGCCAAGGTCAAGTGCAGCTTTCTGGGCTGGAGAGCCAGGAGCAGAGGGGCCTGCCGGGGACTAGCTGGGCCTCCCAGGCTCCTGGTAGAACCCACACCAGGTCACAGGTAGGCCACCCACTGGAGAGAAAAAAGGCCGCACTCCCCGAGAAGAGCCTGGCCGCCCACTCCCTGGGAGAGGTCTGGAGGGTGAAGAGGACCGAACTTCTGCCTTTGGGGAACTGACTTTTAACCTGTGAATTTAGAAACAAGTCTCAGAAAGAAACTTTGACCCTCCCCCCTTTCCTGCCTAAGAGATGCAGAGAGTGGCACCTACTCCAGGGCTGGAATCTCGGGACGTTCACCTTAGCAGCCTGATTTGAACTGAGTTTGGTAGGTGGAGGCAACCAGCCTGACTGGGGAAAGGGAAGGAGGATGAGAACAGAGATGGTGCTGACCTCCGGGCAAGACTGACACGGGTGCGAGGATGGAGCGGCGACACCAGGCGGGCGGTGAGGAGCGCAGTCTTACGCCATGCCGGGCCCTGCTCCAGTGCCTCCCGGGGCTGTCCTCGCAGCAATCCTGGAAATGTGGGGGCTGTGAGCACCCCATTTTGCAGGTAAGGGAAAGGCAGGGAAAGGAAGTTCACACGGTTCTAAGCCAGAGCCTGGTCTCGGAGCCCGCGCTCCAGGCTGCGTGGGAAAGGCCTCTGGGAGAGCGGGAGGGACCTCAATCCACGCGTCTCAGCCAGGACCCGAGATGAGAAAGGGAGGAGAACCAGGGAACAGGATTCCCACATCCCGAGGGGCTATGCATGGGGAGTAGCCACCCTCTGAAAGCAAGGCAGGGAGACGGCCACCCGACGATGAGGGCCTATGAGCAGCACGGAAATGCACCTGGCATGGGCTAAGCAGTGACACTGGCCACCCCGTCCAGACCCTCTCCTCCCTTGGGCATCCTGCTTCCTCTTCAAACTCCTGCTTCTCTGCTCAGCGCCTGCTGGCCCCCTCCTCTGGCCCCCCTTCACCTGCAGGCATCTCAGCTCTGCACTGTCCCGTCCTGTTCCCCAGAACTGTCCCTGTGCGTGCATAATGGCAGCTGCCACTCTAGCTCCCTTTCTGCGCTGGAAAGAGCAGCAGGCCCGTGATACGTGGCACCTCTCTCCATTTCCACCGGGACTGGGTCATGTTCCGACAGGAAACAGGGCTTCCGAAGTGAAGGAGTGTCCCGCCGGGCAGAGCCCAGACCCAGCCGATGCTGAAGCCTCGCTCAGTGACTCAGCATCGGCTTCAGCCTGAGCATCTCTCCTGCGCTGAGTCACACATCCCACTGCCCTTTTCCCGGGCATTTTCACTAGAAGTTCCAGGCACCAAATGTGAGGCGCCTAACAGAGTAGTCAGCTAAGAGCAGCGAGGCTGGGGCCAGGCCACCTGGCTTAGAGTGCCCGTCTCCGAAGGGATGTTGTGGAGACTTTTTGCGGTGATGCACGGAAGTTGCTTAGAACAGTTCGGGCAGCATGTGAGGACTGAACACACCGTCGTCCACATGAACCCTCTCTGCTGTCCACGTCCCCCATCCTGGTGAACAGTCCTACTATCTGTCCCCTCATCGCTCAGGTGGGACCTGGAGCCACCCCAGGCTCTGCCCTCAGTTCTCCACATCACCCAGTTCCTACGCCTTCCCTCTCCAGTCGCTACCGCAGCCTTCCCCGCTGCCTCGGCCTCGTCTGACCCATGCTGGCCTCTGGTCCTCCTGCTCCCCCCTCACCACACTCACCTCACCCGTGATTAAACTGCTCAGGGGACCCTCCCTGGCTATGGCAAGCGTTCTCAAATCTGATGAGCAGCAGAAACAGAGATCTTTTAAAACATAGATTTCCCAGCTCCACGCCCTGAACGTTCTGGTTCAGCAGATATGGTCTAGGTTCTGTATTTTTAAAAATCTCACCAGGCCGCCCTGATGATGAGCAAGGTGTGGGAACTCCTGGAAAGAGTGCCTCCCTCCCGCCCCTGCTGGCCTTCTTGTGTTGTCCCCTAGGACCCAGCTGGAGGGTCCCTCTGTGAAGCCCCCACTGTCTGAGCTGATCACTCCCCCTGTGTCACCACTGCACCTCACATATAAACCACCGAAGTGCTGGTCATCATATGGTCAGACCACATGTCCCTCTTCCCATCAGACACAGGGGACTTGTAGTGTTCACCTTGGTGACCCTCCCGAGCCAAGCACAGGGCCTAGCACAGGGCAGATGCTCAATAAATACGATGACTGTCGCCGTTGAGCTTAGTGCTGGTGAACTTGCTAGAAATAGCCAAGAAACAATACACAAATGCTCGTGTCAAACAGAAGTCGGTGGAGCAGTGGAATTTTGTTGTGTTATTCTCCAAAAGGATCTGAATAATGGTGCATAAGAAGGTACATATGACTCACACGACTGTATTAAGGGTTTCCTCTCTTGAATCCCAGGGGTGTGCAACCAGCACATAGAACATATATCCCAGGAGATCCCTCTAGGATCCTGACAGCAGAAGCTACCCAGGAAGATGGAGCATCTCTTTTCCACTTAGAAGGCAGAGCAAGTGCTGGGACTTAAATTAAAACATCAAGCCAGCGTGAGCCCGAGGAACCTGGTACAAACACGGCACAGGGAACCGTGGCTGACAGCCAGGTTGGGAGAGGGCTGTGGGCACACAGGGCCTCCCGCCCCGCCTGCCGACCCTCCTCTCCGTCCTCCTCCTGCGTACATCCCCCTGCACTGCCCCTACGGCCAGGACACCACGTCTCTGGCCCTGGGAGAAATGGCTGTGAGTTTCCCGTATTGGAAGACCCTCCAGCTCTGTAACCTGAACCTTGGAGAGTGGGTGAGACATGCTCAGAGAGAACAAGGGTGAGTGATGAAGACATGGAGACAGGCAGTGAGTGAGCAGGAAAACAACTCATCCGTCATACTTAACGCAGAGCATTCACTCGGGGCCAATTCCAGGCAGACGTGCCGGTTGGCGTTGGGTCCACGCCAAGGAGAAATCGGGATCTCTCAGCTAAATGGCCTTGCATCTGGTCCAGTCGCCTAAGACACTCAGAAACGCCGCCAGCCCCAGGGCGAAAGGCCTGCACGAAGCGCCCAGGGACAGCGGGTCTGCCCTCTGCGGAATGAACACGAGGGAGAACTGGCCACGGGGAAGTTCTTTACTCTGAGATTCGGCTTTTGGAGGCTGGTTTGCTCAAAACCAGGAATAAAAGTCTGGACTGGGGTGGGCCCAATGAGGCATCGGTCTTTGCCCATTCACGGATACCTGGGGAGGGCGCAGCCACTCAGACTGCATCAGGGCTGCTGCCGAGGAGGCACAGATTCTCCAATGGACTAGGCTGGGACCCCAGGGAGCCTGAGGGGCATGCCAGGACCAGGCTCCATTCCCTATCAATGACTATCCTCCGGAAAACAGTGGCCACCTCACTGTAGGACTTTTTATGCCACTTCTTTTTTTTTTTTCCCAAGACTTTATTTATTTTGGGGCAAATATATTTTTATTGATTTTAGAGAGGAAGGGAAACATCAATAATGAGAGAGGATCACTGACCACCTGCCTCCTCAACGCCCCCTATTGGGGATCGAGCCAGAAACCCGGGCATGTGCCCCGACCGGGAATCGAACCCTGACCTCCTGGTTCATAGGTCAACGCTCAATCACTGAGCCATACCGGCCGGGCCTATGCCACTTTCCTGCTGACTCGTCTCCACAGCACTGGTGACTGTGCACCTCCTGTGGTCATTTACATCCCTGCATGCTGTCTACTGCGCGAGGACGTAAGCTCAGGGAGGCAGGGAGCCCACAGCCTGTGTTGTGGACCAGCGCTGGCTCCTGGTAAGACCTCGGCAAATGCCTGAGAAAGATGCACTAGCCCCTGGGACAGCGCTCCATGCCTGACCCCCTGGGCCAGTCCAAGTCACCTGGATGCTGAGGCTCTGGGACTCCAGGTGGGGTAAGGTGACGTTCTTGTAATCACCTCCTGTCTCTCGAACCAGGTGGAGGTCCTGGCGCAGGTACTTCTGCAGGTGCTTCTCTGTGGCTGGGTAAACCACGGTTGTCTTTACATCTGCAATGACACAACACGGCCCGGATTGCACAGTTAGGCCCCCTCTGCACAGCTGTGCCACACTCTGGTCCCCACCACAGCAAGGAGACGACTTCTGCCGCCTCTGAGGACCTAGTCACCTGTGATCCACTCCCACAGGGGCCTTGTGCCACTAAATCCATAAGCTGGGCCACACTTAGAATCTGGGAAACTCATCACCTACTCCTCAGCCTTCCCCTCTGCTCACATACCAATTCCTAGGTATGTGGGTTTCTGGACCCGAAGCTGAAAATCTGGTTTAAAGCCAAGCAGTCCTTTTAACGCCCAGCAGTACGGGACAGCACAGTGATCAAAGGCACGGGCCCAGAAGCTGACAGAATTCAAGTCCTGGCTGTCCTGCTCCTTCCTGGGGACCCGGATGCCAGTCCGGTTACTTAACCTCTCCCATGCCCCTACGTCCCCATCTGCCACCTAAGAACAATAGCTCCTGTGTCCTAGGATTGGGATGATTAAGCAAGTTAATACCAGTGAAGCACTTAGAACAATGTCTGACACACAGTCAATATTTACTCTGGCTACTTTGTTTATTTTCTTTTTTTAGAGAGGGGAGGGAGAGGGACAGAGGGAGAGAGGGAAGAAGGAAGAGAGAGAGAGAGAGAGAGAGAGAGAGAGATAGATAGATAGATAGATAGATATGAGAGAGTTATAGTGAATGGCTACCTCTCATATGTGCCCTGACTGGGAATAAAACCCTCAACCTTCCAGTGCACAGGGCGACGCTCCCACCAGCGGAGCCCCGCTGGCCAGGGCATGCTGGCTGTCTTTAATCCTGGTTTCTCGACCTGGATGCCACCACCATTCTGGCCTCTCTGATTCTCTGCTGTGGCTCTCTGTGCACTGCAGGGTGGTTAGCTAGTCAAACGAAAACTCTCTCCACTGTGACGACCAAGCATGTCTCCAGGCGTTGCCCAATGTCCCCAGACAGAACTGCCCCAGCTGAGAACCCCGTTTTCCCCCGGAAGGAAGGGTGTCGTTTTTCTGAAGACTCTAGCCTAGGGTCCTGGTCCAGGATCACCTGGTTTGGGTGAAGTCCCTTTATCTCTAATAACGTCTGCTACAACTGTTGTCACTACTCTAACATTTACACAGGGGTGGGCAAAAGTAGGTGTATAGTGGATTCTTATATTATTTATGAATTATTGTTACTTATTTTTATTATTTGTCTTTTTCCATACAAACAGCTGTAAACCTACCTTTGCCCACCCCTGTATATGGCGATGTTAGGGGCAGGAAAGGACAACGGGGTTTAACTTCTGTGGGCTGTTTCTCAAAAGGCCTGCGGCCTCCCTGACCCTTACTCTAGGTTCAGAGGTGCCCGTCCAAGGACGCAGAGCGGAGGAGCCCTGCAGGCACACTGAACACTCCAGCAAACTCTCACTCGCCTGCACACCTAGGACCCAGCTTCCTCTCACACTTGGTCAGAGGACGGTGGTGATTTTGACCCCCATCTCACAGGGGAGTGGAAGCGCTGATGGGATCCCAGACGAACCCCCCGTCACACTGGGAGGTGTGGCAGAGCAAGCTGGAACCTGGCCCTCCCTCCCTACAGTCAGTGCTGTAGCCTGTACTGTCTGAAACCTGCTGAAAGCCTACTACTGTCTTCCAACAGCCCAGGGGGGTGTCCGCAGCGCTACACCAAGCACATGACCTCTGGTGAGGATCAAAGGCCCCTATTGCGTCAGCTCGACGCTGGAGAAGTAAGGCACAGACACACGGGACCCGAGCTGGCTCATGGCTCTCCGCTTACTGGTCATGCCACTGGCTGGGTGTGTTACTTAACCTCCCAGTCTCTGTTCCCTCACCTGTTAAAGGTGCTCATAAAACCTGCCCCACAGCGTTGTTCACACTAAACAGCATGTGCCGTCTGGACCGCTGGGAGCTCAGTGAATACCATCCTGTATCCTGGGAATTTGCACTGGACCCTGGAGGGAGGCGGCAGCAAAGGCTGTTCAGTGCTTCTCACTCCCACTGCTCTACCAGCCCAGGGTCATGGCCAGAGGTCAGCACGCCAAGAGCTAAAGAGGCAGGGACTGTCTGAAATAGGTGGGATGGCACCGCGGGGCCCTGGCACTGGGCTCTGGGAGAAAACAGATTCCGGCAGCAATTGGCCTGGGTTCAAATCCTGACTGCACTTGGTAGCTGAGTAACCTTGGGCTGTTGTGAGACTCAATGAGCAGGAGATGGGAGCATTCAGAGAGTGCTCCTCCCCCAACAGAAAAGGGCCCCAGTGCCAGCCCTCTCTCTCAGGTTCGTAGTTATTCCAGTTTCCTGGGCTGGGCCTGGGGGGGAAAACCACGAGGCATGGTGCTCCCTCTGCGTGGGGGAGGTGGACGGAGACAAAGGCAGAACTGATGCTGGAGAACAGCCTAGCCTCTTGGCAATGGACACGCAGCCTGTGCTCACAGTCTGGGGCTCCCTGGCTGCTCCAGATCAGAAAGTGCTGGGCCCCCGAGCATGCCCCTGTCTGCCAAGGCTTGTCAAAGACCGCCCCGCCACCCAGGGTGCTGGGGAAACAGGCACCTCCCGGGGCCAGCCCCCGCTAGCCTCCTGCTGTCCTTCCTTCCCTGGATGCAGGAACTCCTGCCGGGATGCAGAAACCCGCCGTGTATCAAGGCCCTCGGAGCCAGTCCCCGGGGGGCCGGCCTCACACAGACCACCGGAAGCCTGGCCCTCACATGCTGGCCCACAGCTCAGGGAGGCGTCCACAGTGCTATGCCAAGCACATGGTGGGCTGGGGCTGGCTGAGTGCGTATCCTCCTGAGGGCCTGACCCCCTCAGACCTGGACTGTCTACTGGCTCCCTATCATGGTCAACACGGCCCTCCATCATCGTGCCAGGACCTCTCCCAAACTCATGTACCCCTGTCCCTGATCTCTGCTCCAGCCAAACCGATCTCCTTCCACTTCCACAAAATCACATCAAGCGTGTGCGCATTCCTAGGCCTCATCACCGGGGTCTCTGCCCACGGGTCAGAGAGCTTGCACAGCCCTGGCTAGAGCAGCACCCTTAGCTCATCACTGTCTCCCTCACTCATCACCACCTGATAAGAGAGGCAGACTGTCTGATTGCCCATTATAATGTACCTTCCAGGAGACAAAAATTTCATTTTGTCTAACTTTCCATTTTTTATCATTTTATCCCCAGCACCTGGGATAGCATTGGCCCACAGTAAGCACTCAAATACTTACTGACCAAATGAATAAATGAAACTGGCCCTGGCCCACAGTAAGCACTCAACAAATACTTACTGACCAAATGAATAAATGAAACTGGCCTTTTCAGACTTTAAACCCAGGAAGAGCATTTTTGTCCCAAATGGAATAAAACCTCTGATAAGAATCAATGTAAGTTTTCCAATGGCGAACTCTGCTGTTTACCTAAATGCCAATCAAGGTGTTGACTGCAACTGAACTTCCCAAGGAGTTTGGCAAGACCCCCACCGGAAGCCCGAGCCCTCATGTGCTGGATCAATAAATGCCCAATAAATGTCAAACCACTGGGTGGGAATAAATACACTGAGAGCAGGATACCCATGCACAGCCTCAAAATATCTCCCCACGGATTACTTACTAATTACAAAGGGAAAATACCAAGTGATCAAAGTTAACAGCGCTCCTAAGGGAAAACTGACACCTCATGCCTCATGAGGGATGTGCCGTGCTGTTCTGCCAAGAACACAGTCTGAATCCAATCGTGAGGAAATATCAGCAAACCCGGATCCAGGGACATTCCACAAACAAGCAGCTTTACAACTCTTCCTAAGTGTCAGTTAGGAAAGGCAGCCTGGCTGGCGTGGCTCAGTGGTTGAGCGTTGACCTATGAACCAGGAGATCACAGTTCTATTCCTGGTCTGGGCCCATGCTCGGGTTGCAGGCTCAATCCCCAGTGTGTGGCCAATCAATGATTCTCATCACTGAAGTTTCTATCTCTCCCTTCCTCTCTCTGAAATTAAAAAGAAAAAAAAAAGAGCTGATGAGCTGATGGACATAGATGAGTTCACCTGGAGCTTTATTTTAGGACTAGAGGCCCGGTGCACAAATTTGTGCACGGGTGGGGTCCCTCGGCCTGGCCGGCAATCGGGGCTGATGGGGGGGTGGGGAGGGCGCGGGAGGTTGGCTGGCCACCAGTGGGAGGGACCCCAGCTCCTCATTGAGCATCTGCCCCCTAGTGGTCAGTGCACGTCATAGCAACCAGTCGACCAGTCATTCGGTTGTTTAGGTGACAGAACCTCCAGTAATTTGAATCCTTCCTCTTGGGCTGGTCAGGTTCAGCGCAGGCCACTCTTCCAGTTCCACAGACAGAGGCATAAAAGACTGGCTGACAGCTCTGTACGTGGAGGAGGAGGGTATGGGGTCATCTCAACCTTCAATATCTAATTTTTAAAATTGATTTTAGAAAGAGAGAAGAAGGGGAGGAGAGAGAGGTAGAGAGAGGTGAGAGGGTGTATGAAGGGGGGGCATCAAGTTGTTGTTTCACTTATTTATGCATTTATTGGTTGATACTTCTATGTGCCCTGACCAGAGATCGAACCTGTAACCCTGGTGTATCAGGGTGATGCTCTAATTAACTGGGCTTCCCGGCCAGGGCCTTGAGCAGCATTTGTTATATTTTCTAAAACAAATATACTAAAAATAGAAAAATAAGCCCAAGGTCACAGTGGTAGAGCTGAGATTTGAACCCAAGCAGACGGCTCCTCTATGCAACATCGCTTTCCCGATGCCACAGGGCCACCCTCCTTCAGGCCCTTTCCTAAGACACCACCCCGCAGCCATGTTCTCCAAGCAGCAGCCTCTCAGACAGGAGAGACACAATGAGTCCCAACCCCTTCGAGACACGTACACCAGTCGGCAAAACCAAAGGCGTAATGAGGTGCCAGAGGGACTGGGGCTGCACACTGGGAGGTCTGGGAGCACGAGAGCCAGAGGCCAGCAGCAGCAGCGATGCCCAGTGCTCGCTGCCAG